GTAAAATCAACCATTTCAAATGGGGCCATTTAACTCAGACAACTCCAGGCTAGGGGAACATCAGTTCTGGAAATGAAAAAGCTTGGTAATGGTGGCTGGGATTGAAGAAAAACTATGGGAAGAGAACTGCCCTTTCTAGAGGAATCACTGTTACTTCTCTGTAGCAAACTGACTGGCTTATGTTTCCTCCTTGTAAAATTACAGCTGGGATTTTCAGAGCTGCCTYGGTGTCAAGAATCCGTATTCCAGATGGAAGTTGCACTCTACTATAATAGCCAAGTATAGTCACACTGACTTCTTTTCCTGGTGTCTAGGAAATCCTAGCAGACAATAAGCAGTAGCTTGGTAATAGCTCATCAGCGTGATCAGAGTGCGTTTTGCCTGTGTTGGAGCCTGTTTCTACTCACTCCACTGAAAAGCAGCACCAGCTGCAGAGGGTTGCTTCAGTCCARGATGTTTCAGTAACACTGGATGCAGTTTTGGAGAAGGGATCTGGTGTCTGCTTAGTGTTAGGGCTATGACTTGTATTACTGATTTATAACCTTGTAGTATCAGGCCAAACTGCTTCCTGCTTAAGTTGGAAACCCATCAAAAGCAGTGATATCGCCCTTCCTTCTGCCAGCTGTAACATAGTTAGACAAGAATGTGGGGCTAAGGGTGCTGGTTGCTATGTTGGGATGGGAGATGTGCCTGACTGAGTGTATTTAGTAAGACACTAAAACACATTAAAGATCACATTGCTCCACTTCTTGGAAAAATACGTATACAAAAAAGGCCAGCACAACATTCCAAGAGCAATTTCCTAGATGTAATCAGTCATTCCTGCTGATGTGCCAGGGATGGGGTTTCAGTGCTAGCCCTCACCTTCAGGGACAAGACAGTGCCTGAAAAGAGACATGAATTCTAGTGCTTGTTTTGTASCAGCTGAAGTGTTTGCTAAGCCCTCATCATCAGCACCTGTGTGATGACACCAACTCTGTCACCAAAGTGTGTTACCAGGGATGCCTCTGGAAGCTGAGGAATGCACTGCTCCTGTCAAGTAGCTGATGAACGGTGAGGATGCTGCATGAGGAGCCAAGGGACCAGGCTGACTTTCCATGATGGCAGGGCAGACTGCATGGGGACCAAAACCTTCACCCTCAGGAATGCAGCCCAAGCAGCTGGGCTCTAGAGACAAAGGAGCCTCCAGACTCTGAAATCTACAGGGAATGTTTTAAAAATCAAAAACCATCAAACCCAGGGGGAGGGAGAAAGGGAAAATACAGCTTTGACCAGTCATAGWAGAAATAAGCACAGCTCTGACCCAGCAGAAGTGACAGTGAAATCAAAGATGTGGGCTGGAACGGCTGTCGTCATTAGCAATAAAAAAAAAAAACAAATTGCAGCTTAGTAAGACCTGACCAATGTACTAGGAGGCAATGTGTGAGTCAAAGGAAGTGCAGAGTTGTGAGTCATCCACCTCAAAGGGCTGTATCCTTGGATAAAAGTCAAAGAGGCAGCTTAGGGAGAAGAAAGGAGTGTAAGAAAGCATAGAGACAATGGCAGAGAACTGGGCCTCCTCACAGAGCAGAGATTGCAGGGAGGGTAAGATTGCAATCGGCCAGGTACACAATACTCTGCAGGTTTCACAAATATAAGGGTCAGCCTTCTGCTCTGGGGAATTTCACCTGCAGCACTAACCAGAACTAGAGCAAGAGTAGAAAGAGGGAAGTGGTACAGAAAGCAAGTTGCATCACTAAGGGTGCATGTTTGTGTGTGTGTGTGTGTGTTTAAATGAACAAACAAATATCAAGATTTKTCTCCTGTAGCCCAATTACCATGACTTTATTACTAATATAGTGCTCTACAGGCACTTGGGCTGRAGGAGCAATACAGCAATTAGTCAGCTGATATGGCTTGGTCGTATGAAGTAAGATGAAAAGCAAGAAACTAACAAAGAAAATTACAGGTAAGATAAAGGCAACTGTGATGGGGATCAGTGTCATTTCAGAAGGTAAAAACACAAAGAAGGGTGAGGAATTCTTTCAGGCGGTATGACAAAGGGATGGAAAAATGATGGCATGGTTAGAGGRAAGTGGAAGAGTACAGGATGAGAGGCTGTAGAGCATCACACACACCCAAACACAAGGTGACCTGAGCTAGTTCTAGATTACAGGGAGGCATCAGGAGTGACAGGAAGAAGCAAAYGTGCAGGATCGCATGCTGCTTCAAGGACAGTATGGGGAAATGCATCATTGAAGGCGGGGTACACACAAGAGGCAGGGTAGAAAGAACAAGAAGATGGTCATGGCAATCACACCTGTAGTGTCTTCTGTCTGCGGGAGCAAGCTCTTCAAAGAAATTCCAAGGCCTCAGGAGAAATCAGAACATACATTTAACACCAGAGGACTGAAGCAAAAAGAGATGTTTCCATGCCCCCAACTCAGTTTCAGTGTGCAAATCTAAACCCGCTCCCTTGATCTAATGTATATTTTCTGTGTTTTACAATAAAGCAGATGACAATAGAACCTAACTCACTTATATCCTAGGYAAAGCAGGCAGAACTGAAGCAACCAAAACCACTGGAAGCTGTGCTGAAATAAGGTAGGAAGAAAATTGAATAGGTGAGAAAACATCACAAAGTTTCTATATGTTTTGTGTAACTTAATTTTCTTAGGACTTCTTAGGTGCAGTTTTAAGTAATGCTTCCTTAGTGTCATTATCCCTCAATATCCCCTCACTTTTTTCCTTGCAGTCTCTGTATCAGGTGGGAGAGCACACCTTTCCAATTTTAAGCAAAATTTTGGTCCCACAAAAACTGTTGTAGACACTATTTTTTACACTCTGATGGAAGATATACAGCTTTGGGGAGAGAAGAGTCTGAAACAATCAAAATAAGCAAAATCTCTGGATACTGACAATCCAGAACCATAAATTATAAGCCTGAAAATTAACCTACAACAGGCTTAAATTAGGAGAATGGGTGAAATATCCATAGTTATTACCCGATTATTGAAATGTTACAAATTTTTTAGGCGTGGGAACTTTAACATACAAAAATATAACTTGGTTTACAAAATAAACAACTACATGTTTTTAAAATTTTGTGTAATGACAAATATGGCCAGTATTAATGWATTATACTGAGGTATATCTGAGTCTGTCTCCTGACATCTCTAAAAGAGAGAAAGAATGATTAYTAAACTGGAAAGCATCAGTACCATGAACTTATAAACACAAAGGAAAGATATGTCTGTAGGGTTTAGAAATAATATGTAATTAGAGAACAAATGCCATAATGCAGATACATGATGCATGTTTGTACAGAGAAAGCTCGGAAAAAGGCCATAACATCCCTGTATTTATTCATTGTAATGTATTACAGCACAAAATAAGCTGTCAAATGAAATATCTTTCATATAATATTAGCTACAGAAAGCATTTTTGAAAACTGAAGTGCAACAGTAATAACATTTCCAACATTACCTTAACAATCATTTCAACATATTCATTCTGGGAGAAAGAAACTTGCATGAAAAATGGTTTTTGTTTCTCCCATCTTCAAATGTGCAATCTTTTTCCTTAAGAAAAAACGAAAATCGAACTAGCAGGCCAGATTTTTCACTTCTCTGCTAACTGTACAGTTATGCATGTAAATAACTTGATGTGTATTTATATTTCTAATGAAATCAAGGTGTGGGATGACCCACGTATTGGAGCATTATAGAAACCTGAAGTTGCACAATAAATGCAACAAGGTACACTATAAAACARCAGGTACAAAGAAGGCTTAAGAAAAAACAACATCTAAAGTGCAACTGAGCAGTCATTTATTTTATGTCTGTCCATGCACCAATGGTCTGAGCACAAACATTTAAAACAATTACTGTTCTTTTCATTGCAATGATTATTTTTGCTAATTCCAGTAAGTTAAAAAAAACCCTAACTAGCAAAAAAAAAACAAAAAAAAAACCCAAAATAAACCGATCAAACCCTACACACTAGAAATGCAATGGATAATTTGTGGATCATTAAAAACATATGCAACTCCATTAACTATCCAATAAATTAACAATTGCAGAAGTATTTTAAATTTTATTTAAAAATCCAGGAAGCTTCTGAATTTCATTTTATGCTCCAACAGGACATACATATTGGTTTCGTTTTTCCTTGCAGCTGCCAGGTAATAACCAAATCAGTTTTCTAGCAGTTGATTGGCCATGGCCCCGATTGCAGGTCAGGAGACATGMAGCCTCCAAGGGGCAATTCCCATAAACCTCTTCGATGGAAGAGTTACCAGTTCTGTAATTACAGAATCAATTAGGTCGGAAAAGACCACTGAGATCATCAAGTCCAATCTCTGACCGAACATCACCACACCAATTAGACCCTGGCACGAAATGCGACGTCCAGTCTTTCGTTAAGTACCTCCAGGGACAGCGACTCCACCACCTCCCTGGGTAGCCCGTTCTAATGTCTAACCAGCCTTCCTGTGAAAAAATTCCTCCTGATGTCCAACCTAAACTTGCCTGGCACAGATCAGCTTGAGGCCATGTCCTCTCGTCTGTGGCTGCCTGGGAAAAGAGACCGACCCTCACCTGAACACACCCTCCTTTCGGGCAGTTGTAGAGAGCGATAAATTCACCCCTGAGCCTCCGTTCTCCAATGTGGGGGCCCGAGGCCTCTCTGAAGGCGTCGGGTCCCTCTGGAGCGGGGCTGGCAGGCGGGAGCGGCCCGGAACGGCCGAGGGGCGCCGCTTTCGGGGAATGGGCGGCGGGGCGGCGACGGGAGAGCCGAKCTCCCGCAGGGGACCCCCGGTGAAACCGGTGTGCCCCGCTACTCCCTGTACGCCCGCTGTGCCCCGTTACTCCCGCTGTGCTCCGGTATTCCCAGTGCGCCAGCTGTGCCCGCTGTGCTCCTGTACGCTCCGCTGTGCCCCGGTGTTCCCGGTACGCCCGCCGTGCCCCGGTGCGCCGCCGCTCCGCTCCGCTCCGGCCGCCCCCTGCGCTCCGCAGCCGCAGTTCCGGCGGTGGGAGGAAGCGCGGGGCCGCTCCGCTCCGCTCCGCTCGCCGGGGGATGCGGGAGTATTCCCGCCCCCGCGGCCGGCGGGAGGCGGGCGGCGGCGGCGCGGGCGGGGCGGAGGCGTCGCTCGGCGGAGAGCGGCGGGGGGACCCGGCGGCGGGCAGCGGGCACAGGCCGGCGATGGAGGAAGGTGAGGGGCGGCTCCTCAGGCCGCGGAGCCGGGGCCGGGCGGAGGGCGGTCGGGGCCAGGCCGCTGCCTCAGGCCGACGGTGTGGCCGCCCTCGGGGTTTGTGTCCGGGCCGTGCCGGGACCGCCGCGCACGGACGGGTTGAAACACTGGGCTGCAGGACACAGGCGGCTTCCCGGGCCCAGCCCGCCCCGGCAGCCCCTCTGGCCCCATCCCCGCCCAGGGCAGCCCGTCCTTTGCAGTCCCAAGCGGGAGGGGGCCGGGCCGGTCTCTTGGGAACGTGGGGTCTCTTCCCTCGCCCGGCACTGTCTGGGTAGAGCGCCCGGGGCAGCATCTATGGGTTCCGTMGATGCCTCCTTGAGTGTACTTTGGCATCCTTCCGTATGTTTTCGTCAGCCTTCTCCCTCGTTTYTTTAAGTATTAGAGAGCATCCAAAGGAGGRCTACTAAAATGGTGAAGGGCCTTGAGGGGAAGCTCTGTGAGGAGCGGCTGAGATCACTTGGTTTGTTCAGCCTGGAGAAGACTGACCGAGACCTCATSAAAGGTCCTCATCCAGCTTGCTCAGGAGGAGAGGAGGGGCAGATACTGATCTCGTCTCTGTGGTGACCAGTGACGAGACCCTACGGAATGGCCTGAAACTGAGTCAGGGGAGGTTTWGGTTGGYACTAGGAAGAGGTTCTTTACCCAGAGGGTGGTTGGGCAGTGGAACAGCTCCCCAGGGAASTGGATGCAGCRSTAAGCSTGCCAGAGTTCAAGAAGCGCTTTGACAGTGCTCTCAGGCACATCGTGTGATTGTGGAGGTGTCCTGTGCAGGGTCAAGAMCTGGACTTGGATGATCCTTGTGGGACCCTTCCAACTCGGCATRTTCTGTGATTCTGTTTTAGTCCCCACACAAGCATTTTCCTCCATGTCCTGTGTAGGGGGGTAGGAAGTGGCATTTAATTTTGTTAGAGAAATCAGCAGAAACGAGATTGTTAATAGGCACCCAGAAAAATGCAAGAGGAAAACAAGCATATGCAGATCTGTCCCATGGCATGTTCCAGCCTCCCAGCTGTTCTCAGCAGGGCTGCACATGGTTTCTAYGTGTTCAGTAATCTCCAGTTGCTTGTCCTCCACAACTGTGCCCATCTTCTCATGAATCTGTGCAAACTGTTGGTTTACAGAACATGCTTTGGGTGGAAGTGTTCTAGATGAAGGAGAAGTGCAATGAGCTGATTCCTTTTAGCCTGACTCAYTAGGTTTGTTTGAGAACTTCTTGTCTTAGAAAAGCAGGTGAATCACTGCTCTCTATTCAGCGTCTTAGCGCGCTTCACTGACTGGTAAATGTCTGGCATATTTCTGTTGGTCATCCACTTTTCCAGACTCAGGTATCTTCAACTTTCTTCCTTGTTCCTTGTATGGGAGCCATTGTACAACTTAGATCACCCTCATGGCTCTTCTCTGAATGTTTCCCATCTCTATCTTATCCTTCTTTGATGCGAAGACAAGAATTARAGTGTTCAATTAGTAGGTGAAAAATAGATGAGTATAGTGGCATACAGTAGGAATGAGTTACATTCTTCTGTAGTAGAAACACAAAAGTCAKTGTAATGCATGTTTTGTGAACAAGAACTTCTTTGAACTGGGAACTTACAGGGGACTGGAAAGCAGATGAAAAATCATGTGCTGGATAGAGAGTTACTAGAGGCTGTGTTATCAGTTCAAAATTCTAGGTAATTTTTGGTTGTCACCTTGTTTGACTTTCATTTCACCCTGTTTAAATGATTCACAGAAGTGAGAATAGCATGTTTCTTGTTTGAGGCAGCAGCAAGAAACAGAAGTAACACACTTACATCTTTTTGTGTTACTGCATAGGAGGGGGATTATCTTGAGCAGTCTTCAGAACTGAGATGAAGATCATTTGCCAACTGAGGTGTTGTTTCAGAAGTAGAATTTGAAATTGTTGTTTCTTTGGGAACTTTCTATTACTGCTGTTAATGCTATACTTCATAAGTTTGTTACACTTCTGCTATGGCTCACTTCTCTGCTAAAGAACAAAAGCCTTTTCCTCCGGTGTTCTCAGTGCTGTTGCTGTGGTCSTAACTAGAATGACACAGGCACTCAGTTGTCCTTACCAGCACATATGTGCCCACTTTGGTGATCTACGGTTTTCCCCCACTGTATTTTATTTCACATGGTATGAATTATTTTTAACGGCAGTGCTCGTGGTGTTTGCATTGCTAATAAACTTTTCATATATTTGACATGAAGACATACTGGTGTACATTTCATTTTGGATTAACATAATGATAAATGTGATACCGAACACTCTAAATCTTGTTTTGTTTGAAATCTTTCCAGTTCTTGTCTTGTTTAAGAAGGTAGACATTTTCTGTTCATTCTGTGAAAAATGTTACCATTGTGATCTTGGTTTGCTCAGAATAATTTATAAATTGCTCTGTTAAAACACGGGTGTCCTGATTCAGGTAGACATTAACCATTTGTATTTCTATGTCTAGTTTCCAACTTTTAGATCTAATACCCCAGAGTTAAAACTAGACTGAATTAGAATTGAAGTAATATACAAGAGTACTTAAAAACCTTGTTGTGGGGTGTGAAGATTGACACTTCAAGTTTGAAGTTGGATGGGTTTATGAAGGAGCTGTTTTAAGTCCAGAGTTAATTGGTGGCTGCAAAATTTCTAGCCGTGTTGGACAGTAGGTCAAACAGAGAGCTAAAAATTTCTGTAGCATGAGTTACAGTTAAACTTTTTTATCACACTTCCAGAATGACATAAGTATTGTGGGATATCTTTAATATGCTAATTATAAAATACTTTTTGGACTGAATCCTTTTGTATGTAGACTTGCAGTCTGTGAATGAGCCCATTGCCTTTCAGATTTTAAAATAGTGAACTAGGGCTTCAAACTGCTGCTGTTCCAAAAATGTTAAGAGAAGCCCAAGAAGCCCTTGGTCCTGTGATGTGACTGGTGTATATGGCTGAGCAGATTGGACTTTTTGATTATATGTTAGACAAAATGTTCACAAATCTACTTAGTTCCAGCAGATCCAAAAGTAGGAAAAATACAATATTATATTTACTTTATAAAAGCCTTTGCCATATAAATAATAGGCATCTCAATCTGAAAGTAATGGACTAGCCCAATTTTTGCATTACACTACTATAGCAGCATAAAGCTAGGGTGAGAGTAGAATGAAATTGGTACCAGTTTTCCCAGTGTCTGCACCAACTAACCTAAACTACTGATTTCCTTCATTTGTGTAATGAAGGACTATGAAATAAACCAATTAGCTTCCAGTCTGGGTTCTGGGTAATCCCAGTGTATGGCCTCAAGWGAATACTATTGTTTTTTCTAAGGAATAACATAGCAATTGATTTCTATAGTGTTACAATGTTATTTTAGTTGAGCATATTTCATATTTTAATTGAGTCTTTGTCAAATATATCTTCCATGGAATTGAATCAGTAGCAATACCTGGCTGCTACCTGCTGCTRTGTGGATTTTTCAGTGTGATTTTAGGTATTGTGTTACAATAACTTAAAAAAAAAATGTCTTCAGGGGCAGCAGACCTTCGACAGAGAAAGAAACAAAACTGCACAGAATCTGACAAAATGGCTCCAGAGGAGAGAAACAAAGAAAACTCAAAGCTGGGAAGGTCGCCAAAATGTAAGCTACAGAATTTTTAGCCGACTTTTGATTGTTTTTTTCGTTATTCTTCTACATTTTATGAGAAGATATTTGTAGCACAKTAATTTATAACAGACTTACTTTGAATTAGGTTTTGGAATGTTTTAAGAGAAAACAGGCATGCACATTAGAGTTGTTTCATAATGACATTTTATGTATTGCAGAGTGAAATGGTAGTCTTGGACTGTTTCAGGCGTGGGGAGGTAGAGGGAGAGAAGTTAATAAATTTACTCTTGTTACTATTTGCATACAAATAAATATTTTTATTGCTCCTGGAMTTATCTTTTGATTGGAAGCTGAGATGCATGAAGTAATGGTACTGAAACAAGAACAGACAAAAAGTCCTTACTGCTTTTCAAGAAACAGAACTAAAACTAGGTATAATTTTAGGCAATTGCTCATCAAAGGCAAGCTACCAAAACTTTTAATGTTAAAAATACATGTTAAGTTGAGGGAGCTAAAATTGAACTAGACACCCTTTGAATGAGTTTGGTAAAATTCAGATTATTTCATTCTTATATGTAAAAACAGAATGGAAAGTAGACTGTCTCTGAAATTATGTAGCATTCCACCTCTGTTAATGTCTTTAAGAAGTTTGTGGTGTTTTGGGTAGAATCTAAATTTGCTCTATTTATCTGGAAGAGGCTTCTCCTTTTTGGAATGCATTTGAAAACAAAGCTTACTGTAATGGAGAGAAAATTTGCAGTGTAGTGTGTATTTTGTCTGAAGGTCCTGTGAAGCACTGATCAGGGGGAAAGAAAGCTACAGGACAGGACAGGAATAACAAACCAGTTTTCAATGTATCTGTGCTGCTGATGATGTGATAATTCTCRTGCTACTAAGTTTGCTTGTTGTTCAGAAATGAAAGTAGGATGTACTGTTTGTTTCTCAATGCTCTGGACTATTTTAGTTTTTTCACTGCTTCTTTTCAGATATGTTAATCCAGCGTTTTGCGAAGCTTTTCTTTGGCTGTCTTGCAGCAGTCACCAGTGGAATGATGTATGCTGTGTACCTCTCAACATATCATGAGCGGAAATTCTGGTTTTCCAGCAGGCAGGTAAAGTTAAACTACTGAAACAAAAGCCAAATTGTGTCCTTGAAATCAAATCTGATCCCTGTCATGTTGAAACTACTTGCTCACAGAATCCCATGTTCTTCTACTGAGGCCTCTGTCTTTGAAATAGCTTCTTTTTTCTGTCCTCTTTCTTTTCTGGGTTTCTTTTTCCTCCTGCTAACAGTAGTCTTGGCTTGTCATGCTTTTGCATGTTATTCCATACCACCCTTTATCCTTAAAATACCCATCTGAAATATGGAGAAGTAACTGAAGCRTACTGGGATTGCAGAAGCTAATCAACAAGAATATGTGCTGGGCTTTTTGGGTGGGTTTTGTGTGTTTGTTTTGGGATTTTGGGAGGTTTTATTTGTGTTGATTGGTTGGTTGGTTGGTTTGGTTTGTTTTTTTTGAGAATTCCATTATTAAGTGAAAAATAGAAAGTTGAATGAAATTCATGTTTGCGGCTATTAAAAGATCCTGTGGATTTTGTGCTGTCTTATGATATGGATTAGAGTTGCTCTGATTCCACGCATGTTTGCTAAGTTATAGAGAGCATTATATACCTGACAGAAATGCTGTGAAGATTAGTGTTTTGTGAATATTTTGTAGACGTACAGTAAAGTCATAACCATGTGCTGTATTAAAAAAATGGTCTRTCTGAAATATATGGTCTTCTCTGGAAAGAGATTGCAGGAGATGAATATATTTTTTTTTTCTAGGAACTTGAACGAGAAATTACATTTCAGGGTGACAGTGCCATTTATTACTCATTCTATAAAGAACTGCTAAAGGCTCCTTCCTTTGAAAGAGGTACRAAACTCATTTGTTTTATTAACTTTGAAAACTCCCGTTCTCTTTGGAGACAGTAAAAAACTACTGCAGACTGGGGAGACTGATTTTATACTCTTAGGTTGGTACTTCGGTCACATTTATTAAAAACCACACACTGTCCTAGCTTTTCAGTGCCCTTTAAAAATAGTGTTTAATTACCCTGTATTCCAGCACATTACCTTTAATYAAATCAATACCCTAGAATAGGGTTAATATTACTCTTATGTTGCCCTGTTTCAAAGTTATCATTGGGTTTGCCTGTGTTACAATAGTGGTTTTCTGCCATGTAAATATAATTTATGTTGAATTTGGGAATGGGGGATGAAAATTGCTGGTTTCTGTCCTCTGTCAGAAGACAGAATGATTTCTGTCACAAACTGATCTGCTCCATCCTGTCCCTGCCAGAAGTTCTTACTCTTGTCAGCTGTGATGAATAGATGCTGATGAGCATTGAGTGGTGGGGACAGAAAGCATCAGCAAGGAGAGCAGACTGAGTGACAGTGAGTTCTCCTTCCTTTGCCCTCCTGCTCTTTATGCTGCACTGACCCTGGGTCCCTAAACCAAAAGGAAACTAAAGCAGTGAAAAGAAGAAGGAACACTTTTATGCTAGTTCAGTGAGTTCCAAAATGCACTGTACTAGCATGGGAAAAAGGCAATAACTCAGGAGAGAAGAGGATGAACAACCCTGTCTCACGGTGGTTGGCCATTGAATTAGTTCAGTCCCTTTGTGAAACCTCCCTGAAGCCAGTAAAACTAAACTTTGTGGTTAGCATTTTATTGGTTGAACAGTTCCCAGCTGAATGTAGCATATCAGCAATATATGAGAGGTCTTTGGTACACTCAGTGCCTCATTACCTCTGGGGATATTGCCCATGCTGTGAATGGATGGATTGCATGTCTCATTCAGGGATGCTATCTCTGCAAACAGGTAGACTATGTGTCTGCAAGGTATTATGGGGCATATAGTTTTCAAGAGTGTATCACAGCTGTACTGAACTCAGTTACAAGTCCTGGATGACCTGGTTTGGCCTCCAGAGAACAACTGCAGRCCATACACCAAGATATGCTCAGACCCGGAAACTGTTGTCTGGTTTGACTGTTGCATTGGTTTTGAGGCATTTGTTCTCACCCCCCATACCATGATTTGGATTGTTTTTCCTCTTCCCTCTATTTTTCTAAGTATTGACAAGTCATGTCTTTATTTATGAAGTTTTGGAATGATATATCCTTCAAGTATGCCAGCTTCAATTGCATCTCAGGCCCATAGAAAGGCATATTGTGTTTGGTGAATGAATCTTAGAAATCTCAGATATGCAGAGCTGAAAGGGGTAATGAGGCTATCATACCTGACCTCCTTCTGGAGACAGGTTTAATACATCCTGCTCATCCCTGTTACATGTCTCACTTCTTAAGAAATGCCAGTGAAGGTGATCTATAGGTAAGTAGTTTGAGGATTGCATTGGTATGTTACCAGAAAGACGTACTTCAGATGATTTGTTTTGGGCCTTCTAATCAATCAAAGATTATATGAATGAAAGGTAATAACTTTCTAGCTAGATYAGTGTTGTGAAATGACAGTTAACACAGGAATTTCTTCGTGCTTTAAAACTGGGTGTGGTGAATCTGTCAGTAGCTTTAATGATCAAAACTGTCTACCCCTCCGTTAGAATATACTCTGGCCTCTTTAAGAGCAGCAATAGTAAGTGATTCCAAGATTGATTTTTTTTTTTTGTCTATAGGTGTTTATGAGTTGACACACAACAATAAGACAATATCACTGAAGACCATAAATGCTGTCCAGCAGATGACTTTATATCCAGAGTTGATGGCCAGTGTTTTATATCAAGCATCTGGTAGCGAAGTATGTGCATTTCTCTTACTTTCTGTGCTTTCATAATGGTTGTGTCTGTGTGTRTATGAGACTTTCTGTGCTGTATACAATGAACACATGCATTTTCTGTTGAATGAGTTGAACTAAGACTCTCACCAGGTCCAGGTTCTTGATTCTGATCAGTCTCTGGCATAGGATTTTGGGGGTTTATATTCACTAACCTTTTCTGCTACTCTTTGCTTCTACAGACGCTTAGAAATGTCTGGAGTATCTGTGCTATCCATTAAAACAGGAAAGTTAACTCATTGGGAGTACAAAAGTCTGTTATAGTGGTACCTGTCTGCCCATTCTCATAGGGAARAACACTTCTGTCGATAAACCTTTTGTCAGTTTTGACTCTACTCAGGCTTTGTTCTGCTTATGCTGCATACTTGTGTCCTCTCTCCTTATTTTTCTTTTTTATTGTTTACTTATTTTGGAACCATTTTTGCCACATCTTTGCTTCTCCAAGTTCCTCCCTTTTATGACTTCTTCCAGTAGTTCTGTGAACTTTATATCCCACTGCAGTATTGATTTATTAAATCTGACACATTCAGTGTTTGAGCTAAAGCAAGTACAATAACCATGGCACTAGCAAGCTGAGTCCTGAAGCGTGCCCTTAATTCACACTGCTTTTTGTTCTTCATGAGCCCCAAATAAAAGCATGGCCAATACTTTTCTAGAATAGGAGACGTCTCTTACCTGTTTGTAAAGCACCTAGCACATTGTTAGCAGTAACAAATAGTAAATAGTAATAATTTCCAGCTTCAGCTCAGTTGCCACTATGTCTCTTCGTTTTTATTTGTAATTTCAGGAAGTTATTGAACCAGTGTATTTCTACATTGGTATAGTTTTTGGACTGCAGGGAATTTATGTGACTGCATTGTTTGTAACCAGTTGGGTTATGAGTGGGACTTGGCTGGCAGGAATGCTGACTGTAGCATGGTTCATTATTAACAGGTAAGAAAAACATCTTTATACAATCTAGTTTTCAATAAAGCATTTAAAAATATTAGTAGATTGAAATGATTTTATTAAGCTTTGTGTTCTCACTGTGAGAGCAAAATCTTATGGTGAATAGAAAACATTTCCAAGAGATTCATTGATTCTTGTGATGATTTTATTAATGGGAAGGCCTCCTGTTGTCCAAACCATCCACACTGACARTTGAATTGACTTTATGTATGTGTGTGAATACAGGAGCATGTGTGCACAGTTTCGATTTTCAAAAATATTCCTCAGAAAGTTTGGTTTTGTACTGGTGAAGAGTGAAAAGTGTCCAAAACAGCTGTAAAACAGAACTGCACTCTCTGGCCAGCTCTAAGTATTGTGACAGTTGTCCGTGGCTTAGAAGGAAATGATAAAGTACATTTTTCTTGTAAAGAATATTTGATTTTTTAAATCTTCTTTTTGTAGTGGGTTTTTCTGCAAAGTGGAATCTAATGTGATCTTAATATCAAGATTATTTTAAAACAATTCACGTGGAATTCTCCTTCCCTTTTTAAAGCACCACCATAATAGGGAGCCTCATTTGGGCAATGAAAACCTATGTTCATGCTCGTGATTTGTCACYATGGAGCTCTGGGGCTTTTGTGAACTTGAGAGCACTTGAAATAAAAGACCTATAGAGGAGCAAAATGTTAGCAATATACCTTTAAAGYTGAACTGTTGGGAAGCATCTTCTAGGAGTGTGAAGTCATCAWGACCGAATTTTTGGTAGCTAAAAATACTGTTCATCAAGCTGGTGTAAACAGTGAAAAATAGGAAAAATGGTGAATAAATCTGTGATTTCTTCAGCAGTGAATAAGATTAAGCAGTGTCAACAAAGTGAAAGGTTTAGTAGTTAAAAAAGCTCCAAGTATGCCTCTGTAAGAGGCTTCAGAGGAATAAATGAAAGCTGATGCTTTTAAATACCTGAATGATAAAGGAGCTTGGGGCTCCTTTTTAAAGGCATAGTAGACACAAAGAAGACTATGTACCTCTGAGACTGATGCCTTTGATCACATTTGAAAGCRTGRTTTGTGYTTCTGAGTCACTTTAGCACTTTTAAAAACTTTCACCTACACCTCTAATTGTGTGGATACTGTCAAGTCATTCCATGAGAAAACCCTGCATGCTCCCCATCCGTCTTCAATCTCTTGTTTTGCTGGGCAGAATATTTCCCTGCAGACAAAATATCTGCTGCTGCTGCTGCTGCTTCTGGAGCAGCAGTTTGTATCCTAAGTATGTTGTGCTCAACCACTTAAATCACTTGTTTCAAAAATACTGTATGAGAACTGAAAGGAATCTTTTCTCTCAGCTRTGAGCTGATTTTCATTGTAATGTGGAAAGCTGCTGCCAGGACAGAAGTCCCTGTGAGAGCATTTAGCACTGCTCCTGGCCAAAGAAGGCTTCCTTGTCCCAGGGCTGGTGGAAGTTGTGATTCATCCCACTTGCACAGTGTGAGGCAGGTTCAAGGTAGATGCTTTTTGGCTTCAGTCCTATAAATGCCACCAAATAGGGAGACCTGCTAAAGAGATGAGTAAAGATTGGACCTTCCATGCTGTTACTAGGTTTTTGAACTGTATCAGCAGCAAAATTGTGCCAGTGCTACTTTACACCAAAATCAGGAATAGTTTGCTTGCAAGGCCACATTTACAACTAGAAGTGATGTTTAGGTTTTCCTTGATACTTTTATTCTATAAATATTTTAATATTTTTGTTTGTCTGTACTTTATTCTAGGACAGATACAACAAGAATTGATTACTCCATACCATCAAGAGAAAATTGGGCTTTGCCGTATTTTGCATGTCAAGTAGCAGCTCTCACAGGCTATTTAAAAAAAAACCTAAATCGTTCTGCTGAGGTAAAGCAAAATTAGTTTCTTAATAAAGAGCTGCTGGTAAAACTGTGCCCAGGGTAGTTACCTCTGCTATTGTTGCCCTTCTGGGAAGAAGACAGAAGATGTTTTGTTTGTTCTTTTCAAAGGAGCCAGTTGGATTTCACCTAGGCATGTGCAGTTTTTGCTAAGYGATTTGTGCCCTACCTTGTTGCTCCCCCAGGAGGGTTCAGAGAGAGCAGTGCAGTAATGAGCCATGTGCTGTCTTTTTTTAATAAACTGATGCAGAATTTTTCCCATGGAAACTATTCTTCCTGGAGAAGATAGTGGTTAGTTCCTTACCCTGTCTCTGTCTCAGAAATGTTTCTTTTGATTGTCTTTAAATGTTTTAGAATATGTCAGTAATTACTTTCTTCCATCTGAAAGTTAAGCATGTCTGAAGTCASTATTTTAATTATTTCCCAAAATAATAATTAATTTCCATAGTTTATGTTTTAATGACCTCTCAGTTACTTGGTGACAGAGGTGCATAGGTAAAAAATTAATGCTTTTTCTTTTCTTTTTTTCTTCTAGAAGTTTTGTTATCTTTTGGTGAATGCCTCAACATACACCTTCATGATGATGTGGGAATACAGTCATTATCTCCTGTTTGTCCAGGCTGTTTCTCTTTTCCTGCTAGACAGCTTTGCCCTAGCACAGACAGAGAAGGTACTGGAACTTTTCAACCTACTGATAGTTGAGGTGCCTGCCATTCCTACTGCTCAGGAGCTCCAAAGGGCACAAGACTGAGTGATGAGTGTCTTGCAGCCTGGGCCCAGCTGAAGGGCATGTTATGTCCATCAGAAGAATAAAATTTCTTTAAACTAAGTCTCTTTTGGACTGCTGTCTTTAAGACAGAAGCTACACAAAGCTTCTGAGACCTGAAATATCTTTGGTGAGCTAGAGGTGTAATGAATGATACCCCTCCRTTTTGGCCTAGCTGTCTCTTTCTCCTATTCACAGCACGGTGGGCAGACCAAGGAWGTACTCTGTTGGCTCTGTGCAGTTAAAGGGCTGTTTTTCACCCTCAATGGCCTGTCCTGCACTGATTTGCCAAACAATAGACTAGACAGATGTTGAAGGCCAGTTGATTTTTCAATACAAGRAAGTATTGCAATTTATTCTGAAAAGTGGTTTTTAGAAATGTTGCTGCAATAAGGCACTTTTATTCTGCTAAAATAGGGGTATATATGCTCCTTTGTACATGCATGCCTTCTGGTTTTATTAGATACCAAACTGCATGCAATTCTAATTCTTCACCTCTTCTTTCAGTTGCCTTTTATTCTGCTCCTCAGCAGTGGGAAGTGTTTGACCTATTGTAGCTCAAAGCAGGGTATATAAGGGAGAAAATGGGTGTTTTGGTAAAAGTTTGAAGAATCAAGCATCAAGATTTGTAAGATCTGCTTGTCAAATCAAGCATCAAGATTTGTAAGGTCTGCAAGTGTTGATAATAGTTGTGTATTCCTGAAACAGATTAATAAACAAATTATTTTAAGGGCAAGGATAGCACCCATTTGCAGCAGTGACCTCTGTCATAAGTTGTGTGTTCTTACTGGTGCATTGTAGTTACTGCTTTGTGCTGCATCTCAGTGAGGTTTTACAGAATAGCAAGACCTGGTAAAATAYTCCTTCTTCTGGCATTTTTAAGAATTCTTGTGAAGTAATTATCCACTAGTTATTGAGGCTGACCAGGATCACTTTCATGTGAAATACTTTGTAGAGACAAATGGTATCCTGTGCCAGACTTGTGAGTTGAAGRATCGGGATCCATTAATCCCCTAGTTAACAGAGCAATGAGTGAGTTATCTACTGYTCCAAAAAGCAGGATGTATATCCACTGTATATTTATTTTATCATTTATCTTTTTCTTCAACAGGTGCACGAGGTATACAGAATCTACCTGTTTTCTCTCATCTTGGGGTACCTTCTGCAGTTTGAAAACTCAGCCTTACTAGTGTCACCATTACTGAGTCTTGTAGCAGCTTTAATGCTCTCCAAATGCCTTCAGGTAACTAGACTTTCTTCTAACCCTAAGTGTAGTTTTAAAATTTAAACTGAACTCCAAATGATACAGCATTCTTTAAATATTTTGCAGATGAATATGAAGAAAAGTACATTTGTGTCAAGATTGCTGAAAATAATGTATATTTATTTGGTACTTACAGTAGCAGTGACACTAAACTTCTTATTAAAGGTAAGAGTCCTCTGAAAAAGTGATTTTAATTGACAGAATTTCACATACATTTTGAAAAAACCTTTTGAAGTGTTGCTTATCTTATTAATATGATAGTTCATAGCTTAATTCATAGCAAATATGAGTACTGAAAACTGAGTGATTTTGTAGCAACTCAAACAGTTCGGTCTTGTTGGGATTTTGGTCTTTTGGGTTGAAACAGTATAGATATACTCTTTTAAAAGTCATTTTATCTCTTTTATAAATACGGGGTTTGTTATAACTTGGATGGCTTCTACAGACTAGTTTTAATATTAAAAACAATATTCTTGTGCATGGTGACACAGTAGTCAGGARCAAGTATGAGTGGTCTTAGTGTAGATACTAATTTTCAATTAAATTTCAAGTAGGACATGGGAACAGAGGTTTTCACTTTGTGTAGGGGTCAGATAGGAGTTATGATTACACAGTGGGATTTTAGCCTGGCCTTGTATTTTGATTAGCAATGCTCTCTTGCTGCCTGTAGCCTTTTACACATATTGTGCTTTTCTTCTATGTCTCATACTCACCATGGTTGTGTTAATTAGGAGTATTAACTGAAAAGTAAAGAAACTACTGAATCCTATAAAGTTTGAAAGATTGCTCACATTTAGTTATTTGCTTGTGCCATTCAGACTGACTAGCCTTGCTGGATCTCTAGGAAAAGAAAATCTAACCTTGAAAAATATGAGTTAAATTACAGTTATGAATAAGTTACAGAACTTTAGGCAGCTCAGACAATCAGTGTGAAGATTACAAATGCTCATAACTTTTGCTAAGCTGCAGTCCTATTTTCTAGCGGAGCCAAGCACAACGCTCTTAGACTTGCTTGGGAATAAGTCTGTCTGTTTTTCTTTATTGTTTTTACACTGCTCAGTAGTCTTTTGACAACTTATTGGCAGCTTTTTTCACTTGCCCTCCTGTTGTGGGAGTGAAATTAAGGGAATAATATTCTCARGGAAACCCTAAATATAGATTTATTGAAGATTTGCAAAATACTTCACTGGTACCTTAGTTGGCACACTTAATCCACTTYGTTAATTTTAACTAAATCTTGAATAGTTGATTGTTACCTGACATTTTGTAATCTGAATGACCTTGTGAAAGCTGCTTCCAACATTTCATATGATTTTTGTTTGCTAAATTAATTTTCAGATGTTCATTCCTCATAAAGAAAATGAGCATTTGCTGAAGTTCATCGAAGTAAAACTTGGCTTAAACACAACTAAGTAAGTTCTTTTAAACTCTTTGCAATTCCCAAGATACCTAAACTTTTGAAACCACTCTGAGAAGCATAACATTTCAGTGGCTTGTGAGAATCTTATRGAGGAGCTAAGGAAATAGTTTAGTTTATTTGTTGCCTAGTTTTAAGATTGAAGTAAAAAAATACGCTTATACAGATTCTTCTTAAAAAAATTGAGGTTTCTGATTTTCCTTAAAAAATTGAGGTGTATTGAGGTTTCTGAGGCATGCGCTGAGGTGAAAGCCTTTCGTGGATTTTTGTTCTCTTGTGATGTTGAAGAGTGAAAACTTTCTGTACCCTGTCTAGTGTTTCTAATAACATTGAAACCAAAGACAAAAGGGTAAAGGTGGCASTACTAGCTTTTCATAGCCTGGAAAAGAAGGCTCTGGAAAGAGTCATGAACTGTTGATACTGTCTCAAAAGAGGCTTGGGTTGTGGGTACTCCCAAAGCCATCATGTGTGTTTGGAAGAAACTGGGACAAGGGACACCTTAAAAGTCAGAGGGAATTGTTGTGATTCTAAGGAAAACTATTTGTATCTGTAAAGGAGTTGAATGGTGGACTGTAAGACAATGTCATGGCAACAGATTTTCTGGAAAATTTCCAGTAGAGTKTTGGTAAGGACTGACACACCTCCTGGATCCAAGCCAAGATTTGCATTCTATGTAGGAATTGGAACTCTCTCCTAAGAAGAAATCTCTTAGAAAAAAACTGCTTCACAGTCTTTCAGGGGAATAAGTGGAAAATGACATCACACCCAACTGAAACTATTGAGGAACTTCTGGAAGACAAGATATAGTGGCATTGACTAAGATGCATTGTTTAACATACACACATTCCCATTCTTAAGTGTTTTGCAAGAAAAAAAAGGACTCCTGGTCAGGATTTAATTTTATTCAGCTCTCAGGTATTAAATGATTTCCCATTTTTTCCCCTGGGGACTTGCTACATGTCACTTTTCAGGCTGTCAGACTCTACAATGAAGCCAGAGATTGAGACAAACTGAGTGCCTTTATGCCTGGAACAATGTGTAACTGTGTATTGGAATTATGATTTGCAGAACAAGAGCTTCAAGAGCTGTCTTTTAAAGCCAGTTTGGACATGCCYAGCTGTTAATCTTTAAACTGATTCTGTCTAATTGAAAGTGGTTCARTCCTCTGTTCTTCCCTTGGGAGAAAATGTTAAGAGGGAGGAAAGCAAAACAAAATAAGACAAGAATGCATCCACRGCACCACATTCTGCAGCAGTTCCAGTTGCAAATACACATTGACAGTGCTTCWTGGTAGAGTGTATCATCTTCCTGCTCGTTAACTGAGGAAGGAGAAGGATCAAGTGAGTTTGGCTACAGAACTAGAATTTCAGCATTAAGGATTTTATTCYTGGCAGTGCCTCAGGCTTCTTTGTGATCTCAGATGACCGCTTTCCCTTCTTCGTCTTCTTGTTTGGAATGAGGACAAGCATACCTTCTTGCATCAATATCTCTAAAATCTTAATCCATTGTGACAACGAAGTGCTTTGTGGCCCCCAAAATGTAGTTATATGGCAGGTTGGGCTTTTGTGATATAAAGGACTTGTACTCTGGTCTCCTCAGATTACAGATACTTTTTGGGAAGATAAGGTTTTTGACATTTGCTTAAAGAGTATTTGCAAAGCAGTTTTGAATGATTAAAAGASAACTTTTCAAAGATGAATTTCAAGTAATTTTGTATTACATGACTAGGTTAAACTGCAATTGTTTTGTGCTGGRTTGTTGGTTTTTTTTCTAATCTGTGGGGTATTGTTATTGTCTTTAATGGGATGTTTTTGCCTTACTAGGAATTTTACAATGAACTGGCTCCTTTGTCAAGAATCTCTTCAGGCACCCTCCCAAGACTTTTTTTTGCGACTAACACAGTCATCACTGTTGCCTTTTTATATTTTAGTATTAATTATCTGCCTTTTTTCTGTAACTCAGGTCATTTTTAGAAGAATTTGGTAAGTAACTTGTTTATATGAAAAATAAGTTAAAAATGAGAAGCATGCCTCAGAGAATGGTCATCGTGTTTGTTGCTCCAAAGTTTGTTGTACTCTTGAGCGTGTCAGGGTGTGAGYACCAGTGGGAAGGCTCACCAGAACCTCCTAAAGAAAAACTCTTTAGTGAGGAGCTTCTTGAGCATCCCTTCAGTCAGGACAGGAAGTTGGCATTGTTTTTTTCCCTGCAGGTGCAATTCCTGCAGAGCTTTGGCAAATGTTTGCTGATGTGTTTGTGTCTCTTCCCATTGCCAGAGAAAGATTTTCTATCTATAATTCTCCTTCCAACCGCCAAGTTATCTGATTGTTGCTGTGATTTCTTTTTCTGTTTTGGGTTTGGGGTTTTTGTTTTTGTTTTTGTTTTTTTAAAGTTTACTTGTTGAGAAAGATGAGGTGGGTGGAGCTGWGAGGGTTTTGGATTTCTATTGTTTCTGTTTGTTTCTTAAAACATTTGTTTGCTGTGATAAGGTCTTTCATCCTTTGCTGCTCGGAACAGAGCTGAAGTAAAACTGACTAGATTATTTTTATTTTCACAGTGATTCACAGTTCCCTTGAAAGAAGGGGTAGTGGAACTGTCTTTGTAAAAAGACTAAGAATAGCAACACTATAGRTCCTAGCATAATTTGTCTTGGAAAACTCGGTGGTTAGGAAATGACCTCTTACTGTAGAAGATAAATGGTGTAACTGCTCAGATATTAGAACAAATTTCTCACTTGTCTGCAGCAAAAATCARTAGATTTATTTCAAGGATGAAGACTTCGAACAGAAAAAGATTATACTGCTATAAATGAAAATGTTTGTCAGGTTGGATGTGTGATAGTATATTCAAAACAATTGAGCAAACTTCTGATTGTTTGCTAATGGTTGAAATAGTAATTTATTACTTTGTAATAAGAAAAGACTACGCTATGTCCAACACCTTTTTAAAGAAAAGCTTAAAATAAGGCCTCTCCTTTCTTTTTTTTTTATTTTAAATTTTGAATCAGTTAATAATCTCAAAATATTTTTCCATTTTTCCTTAGGAAGCTTMTTATAAAAATTGTAACCTGAAATTACATAATGGTAGAAAGTATTGTTATCTGGTTTGTGCCTTGCTATCTTGTTAGTAGAAAACCTTTTGTTGCAAGATTTTGGCTATGATTTTTATTTGTAATATATTACTAGAATTTATAATAATGTGACTAAAAGCTAATTTTGTTATTTTTCTTGTAAAGTGGTATACACATTCCATGTACAGTTATCATCCTACAGATTCTGTAATTCTTTACCAAGCTAATGATATGAAGAAAGTTAAAGTGCGTGTTCAGCATGATTTGTCTAAATGTTTGTAGAGTGTACATGCTCTTAAATTAGACTGTCTCTTGGTGCTGAATTACCTTAAAGTAAGATTTATGGTCATAGGCAGTGCTCCCATTGTAATTATTTACAGCCATTGCTCCAGAGAGGTTGCAATCTAAAACAAGGGRCAGTGGGTACTGATAGGTCATTGACAAAGTACAAAAGGCAAGTAAGCAGTGAACAATATTATATGCTATGACACTGAATTATCTTAGTGTAGTGCTGATTAAAAGTATTTTTATTGGCGCCTTTTCTTGGGATAATGTATGAATTAAGTGATGTCTCATTTTTTCCAACTGCAGTGGTGAACCACTGAAAGAAACGATTAAACTTGAGGATGGTCGAATTGGAGAGAGGCCAGAAATAGTTTATCATGTAATTCACACAATTTTGCTTGGTTGTCTAGCGATGTGTTTGGAAGGGTAAGTCTGATTTTGATGTGTTTCTTTGGAAAGCAACAGAGTTCCTTACTGGACATGATATGCCATTCACCCCTTTGAAATTCACCCATTTCAGAAATAATTTTGGCATATAGTGGTACTACTTAGTAGAGAGCAAAGATAATTTTGATTATAAATTGGATACAGTTACATCAATGATTGTGCTTGGTCTCTTTAACATGTTTTCCAAGCTTTAATGCAGCCAAAATCAAAGACATTAATTGAACCATGTTTTAATCACTTTATTGTATTTAAGTAGAACTGTGCTGTAATTATTTTAATATCACATTTTAGCGAGAGCTTATGTAGTGGTTTGATGAACAGAGTAGTGCTGGAATATTGGGATGTGGAAGATTTCTTACCCATCTTATGTGTAGGCCACCATGAAGTGTACCTTTGTTTGACATGTTAAAGCAGTAGCAGAGCTAATTTCAAAAGTATTGTGTTAGCCCTTAAGCTAGAAAAGCTGATGTTTGGAAGACATTGTTGTTCTAATCTTCTCTCAGCTTAATGAGCTTGAAGTTGATAGCCTTGGGTTTTTATTAGGCTCCTCATCCTAAAATCTAAAGACTTGTAAATTCTGAATGTAAGCAGACTGTTGTTTTATCATATAGTTGATAGTCTGATAGATAGACTATATAGATAGTCTGATAGATAGACTGATTAGTCTACCCTTAAGAGACAGACAACACCAGCAAATCATTAATTGTTAATTATATATTTTCCTTACTTTCTTCAGGAGCTCCCTTACAGTACATTGTTCTGTACAGTTTTGACAAATAGCTGCTTTTTATCCCTTTTTGKCTGGAAAACCACAACAGCCAAGTGACTTTACTATTCTCTTTTTCTTTCATCTTCCCCTGAATTCTGTGAAGGATTTTGTCAGTTTTGTCTTGGATCTTGCTCCTCCACCTGCTAGAGGAGCAGCATCCAAGTCCTCTTCTGCTAGAGATTTCCTTGGTTTACCCTCCAGTGCCATCAAAGTTGACCTCAGATTGTTTGAACGYCCAGACTATGTTTGACATGAGAAAAATTTCTGAATGTTTTTATATTACTTTGAGTACAGAGGCATGCACAGGGTCCCAACTAAGTTATTGCAGTGTTTTTCAGAATGAAATATCTATGGACACCTTATGTTTGCATGCTTGCTGCATTTGGTGTGTGCTCTCCTGAACTTTGGATGACACTTTTCAAGTGGCTTCGACTGAAAGCTGTGCACCCAATACTGTTGGTGAGTTGCTGTTGCCAAAGTCTTGGAAAATACAGCCAGCAAGCATATAGCTTTGCAGRCAACAATTACCTAAGACCTAAGAAAGAACCCATGAAAACAACAGGTTGTTCTGTGAGCAGGAGARTGCATATAGACTGTTTTTTCTATGTCTTTCATTCTTACTATCACAAGTTGTCTGGTACCTGATGATAAAGTTGAGTTCACACTGCAACCTTTCATGCACTTTTCTTGAGGAATGCAGGAGAGAAAGTACAGATGTGCAGCAAAGCCATAAGCTTTGTTTCCCTGAGAAATKAGTCTAAAAATGTAGTAGTAAGGTGTATTTAACTTAAATACAATAGTAAAACTGCTTTATAAGAAACAGTAAGTCGAATTACTTTGCTTGTGTTACAGTGCAAACAACTCCCCTGCTTCCAACCCTAGCTTTATTCTCAATATGAGAGGAGTTGCTTTGTGTGTTTWTTAGCAGCTTTGTGCATTTTATTAATAAAATAGGGATAAGATATTGCTTACCTTAAAATCAAGAGGCTTATAAGAATAAATATATTATACTTAGAGGTTCGTTATGTCTCCTGTGAAAATGCCATACACATCTATATCAGAAATTTTGACTGTGTTCTTTTAGTCGAGGAGTAACAATATGTTCAGGTACATGGTAAGCACATTCTTTTATTTGCTTCATGCTTTTTTCTACAGACCTGCTTTTTTTTTTAGTATTAATACAATGGATGTGTTAGCTCATTATCAAGGGAATGCCTTGTGTGCATTACTTACCAAATGTTTCCTGTACCATACAAGCTATTTGCTCCTTCTTACAAAACAAAAATTACATCAGATGGAAGGGTGGTATGCTGAAAAATGGGTTTCTGGGTCTTGCTTATCAATAATGCTAATCTGACCAAAAGCATCATCAAGATCAGAAATCTGATATACTTGTTTTATTCCTTTCTCATATTTTCACATTTATGAATGTGAGGTGTTTACTCTCTTCTGTTCCCTACATCATATGCACATAGAATGATTGTTACTTGAGTAGTAATTAACTGTCCCTAGGATTGGTGGTAAAGTTTTTGTGACYCAAATGAGGTCTTCCATGCTAAATTAGGCAACTTCTTGTTTGAGAAAAGTTTTTTTGCCTAGAAAAAAAAAAAGTTTTTTTGCCTTGTAGAAAACCACAGAATTCTACCTACTGTTGCTCTTAAGGTTTCAGGAATAAGTGTTTCTTACTGTATGAGCAGAATCAACAGACACCTCAGTGTTGGAGAATGGTGCATAATCCTTTTTCTCTAACATGCATTTTCTAGGCTCTCATTCTGAGTATGGCAGTTCCCACAATAATTGGATTCAGCTTGTGGAAAGAGGTAAGAAAAGTATGTTTGTGGAGTGTTCTTTGTATGGAGGCACAATATGAGTCAAAATGATGAGCAAATACAATGAAATACACTCGGCAAAATTAAATGTATGTGATGAAATTGAAGCTGTCATCCACTGAAAATATATTTTGTTTTTAAACAAAACTGGTCACTTTTTTCAGTATAAGGTATTTGACAATTTAATTTATTAATGATCACTTCTTGTAATTAGGAAGTGTTAAATATAAATGAAGACTTTATTGTATTCAGGTGTTAAGCTTTGGATATATAAACTGACTCAACAAAGAAAATACTGGCAAATAAAAACTCAGGACATTGAAAACTATATTGCCTGAATCTTAGTTTTAGTGTGAAGAAATGAAGTTAGATGAAGTAAAACTACAGGAGGCCATATGCAAATAATCTGTTTGAAAAGCTCCCATCAGATTGTAAAGGAGTTAAATTCTTTGTGCAGACCATTGTGTTGAGTGTGTACCTACTACAATRCAGGGAAGAAAAGCCACAGATGGTCCCATGTTTAAAATTAGTATTTACTTCTTTATTGCAAGTTGCAGATAGACTGGGGGTAGAGTATTTGGAAATTACTTAATAAGCTCCCGTGAGTGCAAAAAATATGTGAAACAGTTGATAAATTGTAATCTTGTGCTATACAGCTTTAAAACAGTTTGGTTAGTGTTCTAAGAATTCATATGTAGAAGCCARTCTTGGCCAACAGTATTTGAACAGATTTTGCAACATCTGTCTTAACACTGCAATGAAATTTGCCATTGTAGCCTGACTTCTTACACGTTTTTGTTGGAGAAATAAATACTGTCTRTAAAAAAAGGTAGAGTTACTCAAAATAGTTACAAAATAAATTACAGTAGAAGAAACTAATTTAGTTAACCAAATAATTCTTTTTCAAATTGTTTTAATGAAAGCAGTGTGGGGGTTTGGACTCTAGAGGGCTTCATCCATTGTAGATGCGGCTTCTGCCTTTAAGCAGTGGAGAACAATTTGGTTCCAGCTTCTTAACTCATCCTTGAGGTTGGGAATGCTGATTAGAAGTAACAGAGCAGCAAAAATGCCTTGAGACTCGTAATGTGTTACCGTGGCTATAAAAGGTTGAGTGTATAGCTCAGCATCTTTTTGCTTGGCTGGCTTCTGACTGTGTCTGGCATCATACCTTCTCTAACTAGGTTTTTCCAGGTGCTGTGATTGATGACTGAAGCGGTTTCTCCTTGGGGTGGCAGTAGCAGTTCTTCTTTCTATCCCTCTGTTCTGGGAGCAGATCTAGTATATCTATAACAGCAGTGCTTTCAGTCCTGACACAAGCATGGCAGCTGCTCTTGTGCTGGTTGTAGACTGCTGTCATTTGACAGCTGAGTTATTCAGGTAATGGGGATGGAAACTCCTCAGTTTAAAGCAGGTTCTCACTTCTAACAGTCTGGCCACTGTGGCTGTCCCCAAAGAAAGTTGTCCTTTTGGTCTGGCATAACCTGTGCATCTTGCTGTTTTCAAAAAGAGCTGACATCCAGTAACTTTCTCTTGGCATTTACAACAGCATGTCCATGTACCTGCTCCAGCCCCTCAAGGCTGGCCAGTTTCTAGCCATGTCTTGCTCAGATAAATTGCTCTTTAAATGAGCTCCAGATGGCTCAGGGAGTGACAAAACTCATGTCTTAATAGAGGACCTCAGACCCGACAGGGTAGGGAAGCCATGATGCAGTGTTACAATCTGACCTGGTTTGAAAGAGGTGCCATTCTTTCTCACTTCACAGAATCCCTCTTTTCCCAAAATGTTTCTCGAGAGCATAAACTGAGATATCCCACTTCATACAATGTAGTCTGCTTTACTTCACTGCAGTGATTGAAGTCAGAAGCAAGTCCAGGGCACATTACCAGGGCTCTTCTAGGAAATTTCTTCTCTCCTGTCTTGCTTGCACAACACCTTTCCATCRAGTCACAACAGTCCAGTCACTTCTGCTCAAGCAGGTTTACCATGAGAGATTTATCATTTTCATGGTTTTCAGTGCCTTAATTTGTAGCCATTTGCATCTGACCACCTGAACTATGTTTTTATTGCATTTAAAGCTCCTTAATGTTGATGAATGTTGTTGCTGCTATTCGTTTATTTAATTATGAATATTTTAATAAAATAGAAAACTTGTGTTTAACATATTTGTTTTAGAGAGAGTTTCCTCCTGTCAGATTAGTGTAAGCTGAGCTTTGCAAAATATTCAACCAAAAGTACCAGTCAGGAGGGAAAACTGTTGAAACCCATTTCTGTTGGGTCACTTAAGGCTTTAATATAATCAGATGCTCTGTAGATATTCTCTTTTAAACTGTAAGTAACCAAAATATTTCCTTCAGTTTTTCCCTAGAATAATGACAGAGCTTACAGAACTGCAAGAATTCTATGATCCTGATACAGTAGAACTTATGACATGGATAAAGTAAGCATGAAGTGCAACATTCCTATTTTACTACTATTTGTAAGAGGTTTTTTTTTTTTATCTCAGCAATTTGCGGAGCTACTTCTATAAATCTGGGTTTTCCCTTGCTAAGTCATTCAGTGGTGCATGGGGGGAGAAATGTGTATTTTAAGTTTGGTATTGTTCCCATGAAAAAAACCAGGAGTTTATAATTAATTACAACTAAAGATACTGAAACATACAAGTCATATTTAATGCCATTGCAAGACCTAGTTTCCAAATAAAGGTGGAGATCTTAGTACTTGCTCCTTTGCATGCTAACTTTTCATTAGATTGGAGGATTCACATTGATTGTAATGCCAATGAGGGCAAAACCACTGAAATGTTATGTGCCCGAGGCAGTAAAATGAAATGCCTGAATGTGAGGAAKTAGAGACTTTTGTCAGGATATATAAAGAGGAATATGTATGATCCAGACTTCCCCTTTGACCACAGTGAGTATGGAGCTATGTTATATGGCTCATACTGAACAAATCCACAGCTAATACCAAGTCATTTTCACCGATACATTTTTCTTACCACCAAAAGTTTCAGAATTTCATTCCGCCTCATTCARTCTAACTTTGTGCTATGTCATTAGGAGCAGTGCTTTTCCGAAAATTAGATCCCTTGTGTTCAGATAACTTAGCTTTCACTGTATTTTTTTAGAATATTACTTTCTGTATTTATGTAGTCTTTAATGCCAACCTGTTTGTCTTCAGAAAAGGCAAGGTTGGTTATTAGTGTTCCAGCCAATTTCTTCTTCTTGTAGTAGTAGTGTATGTTGTTTGTCACTGCTGTAGCTCTTCAAGACAGCAAGTGGAATAATGCCCAGTACCTAATGGCTTTTATGTGAGTCTGCATATACTTCAAGTACATAGTTAATCATGGTGAATTGCATTGTTATTCACTCAGCTACAAGCAATTTGACTACCCTTATTTGTAGCAGCTGTTCCTATTTCAAGGGAAAATAAAGGGGGATTTTCCTTATGGATATGCTTAGCTATCCATATTGAAATTTTAGTTCAACGTCATTTTTACAGTATATTTTCTTTAGTCTTCTCTCTGATAATATGAATTTAATTGGAATTTTCTGTACAGAAGTTGCCAAAGTCTGTAATAAAATGTGGCAATGACTGTTTTCTTTCACCAATACAGAAACACAAATAGTAAAAAAGTATACCAAATCCAGAAATATAGTTCCTGTAGACATTATTCTGTATGCTGACATTGTTTTCTCATAGATTATGAAATATGTGGTCCTAGAGATCAAGTTACAATGATCACAAATCTTTCTCTTACTAGATAACATCACGTTGTTTCTCCTTCTAACTACTGTGTCTCCTAAGGTTGTTTTGTCACAAGTTGACAACCATTCAGAAAAACAGTACTTGGTTCCATTCCAGGAGCACTTTAAATGGTGTTTGGTGGATTGCAAGGAGGGGAGAACAACCATCAGCCCTTGCCCCAGCAGGAACCCTTCCTTTCAAACTCTATTGCTGCAGGTCTGAACTTTCCCTGGCAAGGAAAGTATTGCCACAGCARCACCATCACCGATTGTAATTAGACCTCCAGTGATACCTGATATCTACATTTAGTTAGTTTCCTTTCCTATTTGACGTCACAGTGTATAAAATTGTTTTGGTGAGTGCATCCTGTACTGAGATGTGTGKGTTGGTGTTGCTTTTGCAGACGACAGGCTCCTGTGGCTGCAGTGTTTGCAGGCAGCCCACAGCTCATGGGTGTGATTAAGCTCTGTACTGGATGGATGGTGTCAAGCTTGCCTTTGTATAATGATGATGATCTTCTGAACAGAAATGAAAATGTGAGTATCCAATTCCATGAATGTGGCATCTCACAGCAACTGTCYTCCTCTTTACCCAGATGTAATGAAAAAAAAATCAGATGTATTAGAAGGGAATAGGATGTAGTCCAGCAGACACGCAAGGGATTATCAAATAGATTATTACTGCTTCATTCTGGACAGAAACAAATATCAAAATATTATTTCTGAAGGCTTTTCAGGCCATTTGAAGTATATAAGATGAGAACTTACCATCAGCAGAGACAAAGACTTCCCATTCAGCTGGCCATTGCCTGCTRTTTTGGAAATCTCAGAATCAAACTTTTTATAGCCTGGTGTGTACATATAGTTTATTATTGCAGGTAGGTTGTTGTTGGGGATCTCTGTGTCCCCCAGTATTTAAGTTGTCACTGATTTTTGCATTGGATGAACATGTTTTCTTAATTTATAGATTTATCAGATCTATTCAAAGAGGTCAGCAGAAGATATTTATAAGATACTCACWTCTTACAAAGCAAACTTCCTGGTTATTGAAGATTCAATTTGCAATGAAGTGGGACCTATAAGAGGATGCAGAGTTAAAGATCTRTTGGATATTGCTAACGGTCATGTAAGTATCAGTGAGGTGAGAAAAACTGAATGTTTGAATGCGTACATAGCTCAATTAAAAATAAATTTTATAATGCTGGTCTTGTTTTTCTCATTGTATTTGATATGTAGATGAAGATTCATAAATTTTAAAAGTGGTCAATTTAGTTTTGGATTGTCTGTTGCTTAAATTCATAATCTTACTCAATGCTGTTAACTACCCTAATACATGAGTCTGCAAATCGTTAAACACTGTTTAGCTATATATGAATGTTCAAGACTGACACCTGAAGAGGTTATTACAAAAGCAGTAAAGTTCTGCCTCAGAAGGTATTCTTTACTAGCTTYAAAGATGGAATTTTAAAATGGGTAAACTCAGTTCTTCTAAAACTCTGGGGTGAGGACCAGCCTGCCATTTAGTTTAATACAGCCTGTGTGGTTCTGATGAGGGTGCAAGTCTATTCAGTTCAGCCTTGCAGATAGGTTAGCACACCAATAGATAGTTTAAACCACATCTGGTAGAAATATTGGTTGAATAAACTGCACCCTGAGTGCTGCTTCAGTCATTGCCATGTTCTGTCTCTTTGGATGCTGATAATGCTGCTCTTGCTGCTGAAGTAGGGAATAAGTGGGGTTTAGAAGGTGGTGTCATTGCCACTTGTTCATTGGCGTCCTGGAAATCCAGCAAGATTTTGGTTTTATATAGGCAGGGAATGGCCTTAAACTTGCCTAGMGTTTCATTGCTTATTCTCCAGTAAWGAGGAARGAGGGAGTCACTAGTTACTTCTAAGCAATCACAAGTTACCTACATTTAATTGATTTCCTGTCCWAGAAGGAACTTTAGCATCTATTTGACATTACAGTCTAGTGTGTATTAACTACACCAAGTGAATCCCTGGTTTGATCCTTTTTTTTTTCTTTAATGGAAGGACATACATACATTTCTTGTGTATAGTCTTGTATTCCTCTCTTAGGGAAAGCTGTTAATTATTTTGTAAGATCTGCTTTTGATGCAACAGAGTTCAAAAGAGCTTGTAATGCAAGTGTTTCATTCCTGTAGCCTGCTTTGTCTTGGGGCAGTAAATCATAGGAGTGGTGTGTTRTTAGAGGATTATTCTTTATTTCCCTAGGAATCTACAACTGGTATCAGTTTCACTTCYGGATTTCCTTACTATTTTGTCCATRAAGGATATTGTCTCCATGTTTCTATTAACTTCCTTACCATTCTTTCTTTCCCTGTCTTGCTGCTAAAATCATGTATGCTGAGGTTATTCCAGGATGTATCCAATATACTGTACCATAACCAGAGTGTGTGTGTATGAATAACCACCATCACTGTTAATCAGCATGTTATCTCTCAGTTTCTTCTCAGATCTGTATTTGCATGAGTAAGTTCCCATTTCCTCTTCACACCAAGGATCTTCTCTGGAGCAATTAACCACARTTCCAGGATCCCATGCCCTCACACCCCTGCATCTCTCATCTCCATGCTTCCTGCATGCTTCTCTCTCACACATAACATTGATAATCTCGTGGGTTTTTGTTGTAGGTTTTGTTGGTTTTGTTGTTGTGGGGGGARTGGTTGGTGTGGTTTGGGTATATTGGGTTGTTTTTTTTCCAGAAAACTGACATAGTTTGCTCTGGAAAGTTGATAAAGTGTATTGTCTCAGGAAGCTTTAAACACACCTCTCAGTTTGCTTGGTAACAAAAATTGTCTAAGTCATATTGGAATATTATCAAGACATTCCAAAGTAGCAGAAGCTAGTGCATGTGTTTTTGGAGACTGCAACTGCAGCATTTACTTATTCCCAAAGTAAGTGAGACAGTGSACAGTGTGTTACACTGTTGGCAGGTCTGTGGATGTGTTTTCCAAATTGCTGTGTTTAAGAAGATAGGTATTACTTTCTAGCTTGTGCTACATCCTATAGTCCTAGTCCGGTATCTGGTTCTGACACTGGCTGAGAGCATAGGTTTACTGATAGGGAAAGACAAATGTTTTCCAGCAGTTTGTTGCTGAAGGACTGTAGCTCAGGGCAATTCTCTTTGCATTTGGCAGTCACAGGTGTTWTTTTCTTCATGAGTTTGTCCTATCACCTTTGCTAAAAACCAKATAAATTTGTGCTATCAGAAGGAAAAATGAAGGGATTTCTCTAGGGATATCAGACAGTAGATGTTAAAACACACAGTTTGCTTCCAAATCAGTTGGTTGGAGTTTGTAGGGCGATGTGTTTCTTTGATCTTTATTGGGTTTGTCAAACTTAGTAAGTAATTGAGATTTCCCTTACCTACATACTGGTATGCCCTGTGCAGGTCAGGTTTGAACTATTGGGTAAATGGGACGTGTGAGTAATTTCTACTGCTGTTCTTTATAATATGAATGAAGTACACTGGTTTTAATCTCTGCTATCTTGAAAAAGGGATTAATTCACAAAGACTTTYAGGTGGTTACACAAATTATAGGGGAATGTGTTTTCAGATGATTGGAACCGTACAATATGGAAATTAAATGTATATCATAAATGAAACTTACAGAATACAAAAGTTAATTAAATGTGCAGAAGTACATTCTGTGACCACTTCAGTAATGTAATTAGGTCTTTTTCTTTCTGACAGGTGGTTTGTGAGGAAGGTGACAACTATGCCTACTCAAAATAYGGACGATTTTGTCATGAAATCAAAATGAACTATTCTCCCTATGTGAACTATTTCACTCGAGTATACTGGAATAGATCCTACTTCGTTTATAAAATCAACACTGTGATATCCTTCCAGTCATGAAAAAGCACGCAAGCTTCTTTCTGAGGATTGATTGTAAATGAATTTCAGTTGGAAAAGTTCCTTTTGTTCAAGGGAGTTTATTTTTGCAGATGTGTGTGCACACATGCAGTGTACTGACAACTTTATTTTACCAAACTGAAATTCTTTGATATACAGGTCAGTGGACACATATTCCATCCTTGAARGAAACGGGAACATTTATCAATTTTACAATCTCCACAATGTTTTACAGTCTTCCATGGTTTTTTTCCCCATTATACATCATCTTAATCTTCATGTAAATGAGATTTCTAACWTTAGTATTAGAGAGCTGATGTGTGTAGACTTCAGTAAATACAGAAAAATTATTTAAAGAGCTCATTTAAGTCATATAGCTTTTATTTTTTAGCGAGAAAGCAATCAGTATCCCGAGTCTTTTGAAGTAAGTGTTTGGATTTTTAGTTCGTGGTTTCTTTTTGTTGTGTTTTAATTCTTCCTGTCTTCCATGGTAAACATTTCTGAGTTTATCAAACACAYATTTATACATCTTATGTGTAGTATATTGTTTGCATAAATCARATAAGGAAGATTTTATTTAAACAACACTTCCATAGATTAAGGCACTGATCTCTACAATGTTAGAGACATATTGGTGGAAATGCTAGGAGTTAGACCTAGCAATAAGAGCCGACAAGGTCAGATGTTCAGTTTGGAAAAAAACTATCTTCAGCATTTTTCCACACTTCAGTGTGTRTGTGTGTATGYAKCAGTGTGTCTTTCTTAGCAGCCACCAGAATGGGCCAGTATACCACAGTATGCCATACTTGTTTTCAGGCAAGTGTAGCAGGACAACCAGGTTTGCTACTGAGACTTCTGCACTTCAGTTTCACCCCCTGTGTCTGTGTGCTGGTATATGTGTGTGTGGGGATGGATGGGTGATACTCATTTCATTCAACTTATTATGCAATAGTTATATTAAGATAGTGCCATAACTGTCATTTAAAACACTATCATCACCACCATTAATAAATAATGGTATAGATGTTCATAGCTATTTTTATATTAATTATGCAAATACACTGATCTTTGAAACTTTGGGAAAGTGCTCTGCAGTTTTGCTTCCCTCTAAAATTTGTCTTTGTTATATGAACCTCTTTGCCTCTACCACTCTTTTTCTTAATGAATTATCTGTTTTATCCTGTTTGTTGCTGACTGATAGACTTTCAAGAGAATGAATGATGTTTTAATTCCARCTCTGGGCCTAAACTTGGTGTTGAGAATTGGAAGTCCAATAAAAGGTAACAGTAGGTTTGCTTAACCTATATGTAACTGGATAAAAACCCAGGACTAAGTTTTGGAAGAACTTGCTCATCCCTTAGGAGTTACCTGTAATTATGAATTCATGTAACACCTGGCCCAGAGACCAGTCTWTTGGGCATGTGAGAATGATTCTTTGTGTCTTTAATAAAGCATCTGGCAAAATAGGATGAACCCTCAGCTGAAAATTCTGCAAACCATTCTGCAAGTGGAAGCTGCAAATCAGTCCTTACTGCAAATCAGAGATTTTAACTCTGAAATTATTAGGAACTGCAGCGTGTTGTATGTATGCAGCGTCATGATTCTTCTCTGCTCTTTGCAGATACACTTGCTTACTTCACATTGGCATGTAGTGCTGAGATTTTAAAAAACCTGTTATCACTTTTGGAGTGATTTAAAAGAAAAAAAGCTTTACTATTGTGAAAGTTAGCATGTCTATAATCTGTTTTTTACTTTTTTTTATATTTTTAGGCTTATGGATCTTGACAAAACGTTAAATTATGCATTTTATTTGAAACCAATGTTCAGATAAATCCATCAAATATACGTGATGTCACTGAGAGAAATACATATCAGTATAATTGAGTTACAAGTTACAAATATCCTTTCTGGGCATACAGTCATTGTGTTGGGGGTGATGTGTACGTGTGTGTCTGGTGGAGAGCAGGGTGCATTTATTTGCTTGTGCACAAGTGCATGTTTTACTGCACTGGGCTGTTTCAGACTACTCAATTACTCTGTAACAACAGAAGCTCCTGTATTAACTTGAGCTATGTCAGGCCTGCAGGAGCCTCCTCTGTATGTGCTAGTATGGATGTAGATGTAATATTTGGAAGTAAGTTTGGAGTTCCTTTTCCAATTTAAGTTTGTTTGAATCACTGTCAAGGAATTACATGGCTGTGTACCAGTCATTTACTCAATGGAAGTTAATAATTSATTAATATCACTTCATAACAGCAATAAGGCATTCCAGGTAGCAAACTTCAGGGTTACTACTGTACCTGGGTAGATGAAGTCAGAGAGCTTATGGCTTCATGCCTTAGACTGCCATGCCAAGATGCAMCATTGAACTGTCCTTGACTGCCTGTTGTGTTTTACTGCAATGTTRTGTGTTAACATATGGAACGTAGTTTGAATACCTACATGTAGAGCACACATGTTAAGAAAACCACAAATGAGGCCACCCACACATCTAAAGAAAACTGTCGTGTAACATGTTGGCCTTTATACATGTTKAAATGAACGAGTTGAATTTTGTTTGAACTGTGACATAGTTATTGTTATTAGTTTTGTCATAGTTTTTAAGATGTATTCTTGTTACTTCAATTGATTCTGCTTTAGGAGAATMATTTAAGATTTTTACCTTGCTTTTTATATTAGAGAAAATTATATTGCAGCACCATTGGCACAGCAGCCTTAAGTAGTAGAAGGAGCCTTTTATTTGGGAGAACATTGTGGTTGTTCCTTTAAAAAGGCATCATTAAAATGAGTGACTGAAAGAATCATGTCTTACAAAGAAAGCGAATGAATTTCTTATCCAGCAATGGATTAGCAAAACCATTGTCTAATCTCCAGTTTCTGTGAAAAATAAGTTCCAGTGATATCCCTTGGTGGGACAACAATAAGGCATAATTRCATCAGACTTGTGCAGACAACCCTCACTTGATTTTCAGCCAGATCATAGGTTTAACTCCTGAAGGGGTTGTGGGAAAGTTTTACAAATTTTGATCTGCTTTGCTGTAGATGTTGCAATTCAGTTGAAACATGTGCCTTGCAAGCTTTTATTAAACAAACAAAAACCTCAATTCATGTTTCTTTTTGTGAAGATTTTTTTAAAAATTCCTGTCCCTCTGTTTCTAGAGTTTCTGTTGTGTCTTAATATGCYAGCCTCTGAGGATGTCTGAGTCCTAAGTGGTGCAGCTGGGATGTGTGCCAGCCATCTAACAGCTGTTCACTGGGAAGAATGAGAATTTGCAATAGCAAATAACAGTTTGTGTGGCAATTTTGCTGGCTTTCTTCCTCCTTCACATTTCCAATTTCTGATATACTTGATCTTAGTAAATGCAAAAAAATTACTTTGAAAGATTAAATTGGTATAATATTTTTAGGCACACACCTGTTATCCTTAGACTTGTGAATTAAAGTTTGACSAACACACAGCTAAACTAACATGCACAGTTTTGTCTTAATCTTAAAACAATGCTCTTTCACTTCCTGAATTACCACATACTTGAACTCAGATTTGACAGGAAAAGCTTGRGGCTAAGGAAAGGTATTTCTGAGCATAAACTTCTAATCACAGTGTTTAAAAAAGTTGGTTTTATTTCTTCCAAAATAAATGGAAATACAATTTAATACAACACAATCTTTAATACAGTTTTCATGGGGGTGGGAATAAGGAGACTATACACAAATGTGGAAGAAAGAGGGCCAAAAGGTTTCACAGGCATTGCAAATTCTTCCAGCCATTTGCTCTGGTGGCATTACTGTTTACTGGAAGGTAGAGGCTAGGGACCAAGTCTTGTTCTTACCACCTTATTTTCACTAAGTCATCTGCAGTGTCCAAACCTTGTGACATTCCATCAGTTTTTCCATGCAATTCACATGAAAAGGAGCTGCAGGATCAGGTTGTAGGGATTGTAARGTATCCCTGAAATACTTCTTAAAACTTGGTGTAACCTGTCCTTCAACCAAAACTCCAACAGGCRAAAGCGTAGGCTGGGCTTATGATGTGTGGGCGTGTGCACACATGATGTGTTTGCATTTAGAGATGTCTTTTTTGCTGTTGTGTTTTGGAGATGGAATGAGCAAYTTCTGTTATCACTATGTGTCTGCTAAATATTGCTGGGCAGGTAGACTTTGGAGTACTGTGTGGTATTGGAGATGAAAGAAAAGCAGAAATTTATTCCAACACAAGCAATATTTTATGTGAAATAATACCTCARCATAAATCTGCATAATCATGCTTTAATACTCTTTTTAAAAGCTAACTTTAGAGGGAAGAAAAAGTGGGAATTCTAAGATATGTAGTGTGTGTTATCTTTTATACTTCAATAGTATAGCTAAAAAACCAATCACCATTATGTTGCTGCACTCTTACTATGCCAAATACAGAGCTAGTGATGCCTAAAGGTCTTCAGAATTGTTTTGTACCTCAACAATGAGTTTAAATGTAATTAATCTGGCAATGGTTTTGGTTTCAGCACAGTTAAATGCATGTATTTCTGCCTTTCAAGCAATGTTTAAGTTTATTTGATGGGACAGAAGRTTTAATGCCTTTCAAAGTTTCAAACTTGTTTACTTCAGTAATGCAGAATTACTGGTGSTGCTTTACTTGTTAACAGTGATGTTTAGCAGTAGTGTATATGGCATATGGACTTACCTGTGTGCAGCTATTTAATAACACGTCTAAGGAATATAATTCCTTTTATCCKGTTTGTTGTCTTGGATAATTTTTTATCAAAATAATGTATACATAGTAAATATTTTTCTCTTGTATTATTTTTTTTCTGTGGGAAAAGATCACAAAAATTAATAAAAGCCAAGTCCAGAAAGTATGGATTGTTCGGGACACAAACCATTTTGTGCTGTGAGAAGCCAAGGGAAGACTGTACAGAATAGCAAATGTCTGTCTAGATGGGCAGCATAAACWGTCTTGCAGCTCTTGAGGACAAGCAGCCTGCTCAGACTGGATCCATATGTTGTGCTGACTGTGACTGCCTGTTGACACATACTTGTGTGAGGATGAACRGCAAAATATGAGCTGCTTCATATGGAATTACTGAACTCTGTGACTTTCTCCCTAAAGATCTTCCTACAGCAAGCATGTCACCTGGAAATAAATTGCTATGCAATGTCAAATGCTTACTGATTTAATTTTTTTAATCTACTAATGCCTTGAATGTTTATTAATGTCTTGAATTTTTACAGGTCATGATTACCTATTTTGGAGTCCTCTATAATTTTATATGCAATTATTAGTAGAAATCTTTGAATGCAGATTACTTTGTAATATTTTGGCATGTAATGGCAGGAAATCTTGGTATGATTTAAAATTCCAAAGATGGTAGAAATAACCTACAAAGAGCTTCTCCAAAAATGGATCATTTAGTACCTGAAAAAAAACCCGTATTCACATCTTTAATTTATGATTYTGAGTTTGGGCATTTATCAGATTGCTTTGTTTCAGGCTAGTCAGGAAATGAACTGATGTTGAAGTATTCAAGTTTAGCCATTTAATCAGCCAGGCTTTGTGGTTGCTTAGCTCAAAGGGGAATGGAGCTTCCTGACTGCATGAAATTCATGCTGGTATTTGTGTACTCTTCTATGCCTTTATGCAAAACTGAGACTGTGGTTACCAGCTGTGAAACAAAATCATTCTATTATATATAATATTTATATTGACACATGTCTATACGTATGTGAGTCTGTATCTCTGCACAAAATAYATATTCTGTTTATAATCAATGATTCAGAGCTGTTAGATAAAGTTACTGGTGGTTTGGATTATTGTCTGCCTGCATAGTAGTTCTGGAATCTGTTTGTAGGACCTAGTTTCCCAGATTTCCCMATTTTTTAATTTGTATGCTTTCAGGCTGCTCAGATAACAAATGTGATGGACATTTTTTAATAGCRGTGAGATGCATCTTGTTATGGGTTAAACTGCATGTATAGAATATACAAACATTAAGCAATCCTGAGTATTGCAGAACTACTCAGTAGGTTGTAACACACCCAACATCARTACATACATTTACTTTCAGAACCTTGAGCAGCGCTACAATGCCTTGGATTTTCCTATTGTTTCACAGTTAGAGCTGTAGTGTCTGCTGTCAAGCCTTGGCTCCTGCTGGTGCTATACTGACTGGTAATAGAAAGACCCAAAACATGTTAAGACTGACTTTCTTTTTAAACTGTTGCAATAAATACCAGAATAATCTGTAARATGAGGGTGAATATAAGTGATGCCTTAAGCCATTCTTCCCTCTGAAATAGTTGAAAAAGGATGGGTAAGAATGCAGCTCTCCTCTTTAACTGCCTCATGTTCCACTGTGTGAGACTGAGCACAGAAGCTGTGGTCTCCCTGTAGTAATTGCTGGGTGCACCTGTGGTTTGCATGGCTGGTCTGACTTCAGCTCTGGGCAATAAGACAAAACCACTGCGGCAGAGGTTATTAAACCGTTTATGCAATTTTAGAAAGATACATTAAAATCAATCCTGTTTTTAATTTCATCATGAAAACCTACTTCTGAAACACACAWTAACTGTCATTTTCATCTATT